GGTAATGACCCCCATGGACTAATATCTTTTTGTGTGTGTGTGTCGGGGGGGGGGGTGGGGTGTGTGTGTGTGAGGGGTGCTTTATGTGCGAATGACATGACTATGTGAGTGATAGCCACAAAGACCAAATTAAGAAGAAGAATAAACATGATTCAATCGAGGGGCCCATAAACATAAAGGAGAAGTAATGTCACCTTGCATGGCCAAGTACAGCATGTTCTTCGCCACTGCAACTGAGTCCTCCTCAACAACATCAATTAGAGGAATGCCAAGGGCTTGATCTACACCCAATCCCGTGAGCTCTGCAGCTCTGGTGTTCCATCCATTTATCACTCCTGAGGAATCAACGGCCAGGATTGGTACTGTTGCTGTTTCAATAAGGCGAACCATCTCATTTGTGACAATACGAAGCTCATCCACCCCCTGAATCCTCATAACCTCATTCCCTGTCTCCACAATTGTTTTAGTATCACTCTCATTCTCTTCTTGAATAAGAGATCCCCTCAATATAAGCTGCAAAGAATGGATGGCATCCATCTCCACATCTTCCCAAGGAAGGCTTCTTGCTTGACCACCTCAAGGAAAGCCTTGAAAGAAGACCTTGGGTGCATCTTCCTACCATCATCTCTATCAACTGGGTCATGTTTGGCTCCACCCCACTTGATCTCTTTCGCAGTATGAGACCTAAACCAAAAGAGAAAATCTTTTGATGTGATTTTAACAGCTGCCATTCCACAAACTGCGTCACCCAAAGCCAAAGCCCCAGGGTAACCAGCTTCCATTAAGCTATCAGTACTTAACCCAGTTGAACCACAATGGTACTCAAGAAGCCAACCAGATATGTCTCTTATTTGAGCCTCCAATGGGGTTGTTCCAAGTAGCCATACCTGTTTTTGATAATAAAGAGCAGCACCATCACACTTAACTAGATCCATGATATTGGGTGATTGAGTAACTATCCCCACTGGAGCATCTCGAAGCAACATATCACAGAGCACAGTTTGGGTGCGAAGAATGTGTTTCTCTCTCAATTGGGCGGCCAATTCCACTTCCTTATTTAGTTGGATCCCAAAAACTTGTAAGAGAAACTCGCAGGCATATCTTAAAGGGAAGGGCACAAACCTCGGGGTTGTGTGGTGACAAACTACTAGACCCCAAAGCTTCCTCCCCTTATGGAAACTGGGCTCATTAGGACTTGAATCCTCATCATTTTCATTTATAGTAACTGACATTACCAAAGAGGCGATCGAGCCCATATTAGCCATGTATTGGGCGTGGCATCCATGAGGAGCTCTCAGTGTCGAGCCACAAAGGCTCAAAGGCTTGTCTAATTTTTTGTCTTGGATCACTTTCACTGGAGAAGCTGTACAATCACATATCATTCTTACCTTATTCTTCAGAAAAAGAAACCTCGAAGCTTGAGGAATATCAGTTGCTGGGTAATGAAGGCCAAGGTATGGATCCAAATCAGCTCTTCTATACTCTGCAACTACCTCACCATGCTCATCTTCGTGGAACTTATAGGCCATTACCCTATCATAACCAGTGAGCTCTCTCACCTCTCGAACCAAAACATCACACAAAAGCTCGATGTTCCCACTTGGCAAAGATTGAAGCTTTGATATAGCCTTAGCTGCAAGCTTATAAGATTTTAAAGCACCAGCAGCTGTTACAGGTACATCAGCTGGGTTAACTGGCTCTAGATCTATCACTAACCCAACATCGATTCTATGAATTATTGCATAAAAAGGTTTACCAGAGCTTCTACAATGAACCAATATAGGATTTAGAAGATTAACTTCACCAAAGTTAGCGGCTTTTTGAAGAGCTTGTGCCCCTAAAGACTTAAAGAGAGTCCTAGCATCCATCCCTATAGAAAGAGCTTCTTGTTGTCCTATACTAGGAACTGCATGAGAAGCTAAATCTAGCATCTCGGGTGCATTCTCACTGTAAGCTAAGATTGAGAAAGTGTGTTCCTCAACTGCAATCATGCACCCAAATGGTTGGATTAGGTTCCCTCTTTGCATTCTTTGGAGGTAAGCACCAACAGCTGAAGATGGTATGTTACCATCTGCTCTTGAGATATTCGCATCAATGGAGTTTGAGTAATCAAAGAGGTCTTCGGAGTTTTCAAAGTCAACATGGAGCTTTGCATCCACAGTGGTTTGAGCAACCACTCTGGCACTGTGTTTTGATCGGCTAGAGCTAGCGGGGGAGTTGGAAACTCTGTTAGACCTAGAAGACATTTTCACTCACTGAAATTCTCTCTCTCTCGAGTTTCCAGACTCAGCTGCTACTGATATATATATAGGAGAGAGAAGAGTACTTTTAGTCGATGACTATGGAGTCCAGTCAAGGAGACTGAAAAATCAATGTGTTTCGTTCTTGAACAACTAAATCCTCTGAAAATCATGTCTGGTTAAAGGGAAAATCTCAAAATTGCGAGCTCTACCAGTTCCTAATATCATATAACAAACGAAAACCCATGAAAGATAGTCCTGTAGAGAGAAGTAATTAACATTGGTTCTTACATTAGAAAGAGGAAATCAGTACCAGTTCTTACTGACAACCCCAAGAAAGGATCATCTCAAACTACGGATCATTGGATCAGTTCAGTGATAGAATAACATATCAAACAAAACGGGGTTCCCGTGAAAATCACATAAAGGAAAAAGATGGGTCTTTTTCAGAGAAATGGTACTTGAAATATTAGTGAAAATCAAGCCATGTGCAGTTTTCACCTTGCAAAGAAGCTCGAGGACTCAGAAAACCCGAAGCCCACAAGCACCTTCACCACCATGAATAAATTCCCACAAAAAGGAAGAAATAAAGCATAGAGGTAAAAGTAGAAGTGGGTTGTTCCTTAAAATAAACTTTCTCTCTCCTTTCTCATCAAACAAAACCCAAGACGCTTGCAATTCTGAGAAACCCAAGAACACGAGACACAGGGAATCCCTGAACCAGGCGCCACAGCCAATAATTCCATCTTTTCTCTTTGGTGACCAGGCAAACCAACTTCTTCTCATTTCCGTTTATGGGTTTTCCGTTCTATACTCAGGATTCATCTCTCAAGATGAAATATTCTACACCCATCATTTTAAAATGTAGAGAAAGAGAGAGGGGACATAAGTAATTCTAGAGAGAGAAACTCTGAATTATGGAGAGAAGACTCACGCGTAGTAAGTTTGCAGAAATTACTGGGATGAATTAGTGAGAGAGAGAAAAAGAGAGATTGGGAAATTGTAAAAATATGAAGAATTGAATCGGGTAAAGCGGTGCAGGAGACAATTTATCATATTCTTTGAGCACAATGTTATGGTCTTCTGAAAAATATAGAGAAATACCAAACGAATAAATAACGTAAAGAGGATAGAGATTCTTGAGACAAAAGAAACCAATAAAAACTCCACTTTTTAGAGAGAGAGAGAGGGGACTTCTGATGAGAGAGACGAAGGAGCGGGGAGAGAAGAGAGATAAGCGACTGCGAAGAAGCATAGAGAGAGAGGAGGGGTCTTGGTAGGAGAGAGAAGGGCTGGATGAGAGAGTAGAGAGAGAAAGATATGAGGAGAGAGAGTTTTGAATCTCTAAAGAGAGAAGAGAGGAAACAGGTAAAGAGAGACAAAGACTGAAGAGAGAAGAGTGGAAAGAATATTCAAATAAAGGGTGTGGTTTCTATATAAGGTCGCAACCTTAAACAATTCAATTAAAGCGCTTTTCTAATTTTTATCGTAACTTAATTTTGTTGTAAAAAACTCTTAGGTTTATCTTAAAATCTATTTTTAAATTTAATTATGAAATTTCAAATTTTAAAAATAATTAAGATCGAGTAAATCTATACACATAAAAATCATGAAAATAAATGGTCTAGATAATGTGTTGCAAGATGCATTATTTATAGGACTAAATTGTTTCAATTTTTATTCATGTTTAGACATCTAGACATTGTCGAGATGATTAATGAAATGGTTTTTCAACATTAAAACAATTTTTTTGACAGATTTTTCAGTTATATCCATATTTCTACATTTTAGGAATCAATTTTATATAAACCTTTTTCCGAGAGGAAGAAGAGGAAAGAGGGGAAGAGAGAGAAAAAAGAGTGAAAAAAAGAAAAGAGGTGAAGAAGGAAAAAGAAAAGTGAAAAGAGAGAAAAGTGGTGAAGACTGAAGAGAGAAAGAAGAGAGAAGAGAGAAAATTGGTTTAACTTTCTTAACCCAATTTTATTTTTTTTCATTTTTTATCTAAAATATATTTTTTTATGTAAATGGCTCCAATAAAAAAGAAATAAAAAGATATCTAGACGATCCCTCTTTTATTTTTACTTTACCTACGTCTCTCACTCCTATCCCACCTCCTCTATTCCACCAAAATAGGGGTTCGCTTCCCGCGGTCCGACATTAGGGCTTTGGCATTGTGTAAATTGAATTTCGGCTGTAGAGCTCTACCACTGTGTAAAGGATGGTCCGACAGTAGGGCTCTCGGCACTGTGTAAAATGCGGTCTGGCAATAGCATCCTGGCACTGTATAAAATGCAGTCCAACAGTGGTAAGGGGCGGTCTTTCACCCACGGTCCGAGAATAGGGCTTCGACATTATGTAAAATGTGGTCCGATAGTAGAACTGAATAGGGCTTCGACATTATGTAAACTGTTGTCCGATAGTAGAACTCTAGCACTGTGTAAAGTATGATTCGGCAGTAGGGCTCCCGGCACTGTGTAAAATGTAGTTCAGCAATAGGGGCTGTGTGTAAAATGGGGTCCGACAGCGGTAAAGGGCTATTCGACAGTGGTAAAGGGCAATGCAATAGTGGTAAAAGGCGGTCCGACAGTTACAAAAAGCAGCCCGACAGTTGCAAAGGCTGGTCTAACAATAGATGTTACTGGACTCCAGGACTTCGTCACTATGTAAAAGACGGTCAGACAGTACTCAGTTTCGTCTGGTAATTGTCTTATGGCTGTGTCGCACTTGTGCACCTCGGCAATGTGCTTAACGTTAAATATGATCGAAATGATTTTTTGTGTACACATTACCGTCTAAAAAAGTGAATTTTTTTATTTGAGGGGAAATTTACATGGAAAGTTTATTTTGAGAATAAAAGTGAAAAAATATTGGGTTGGGGTAAGTTGTATAGTAAATGTTGTATTTATTTATTTATTTATTTATTTTATTATTATTATTATTATTATTTTGTAATTTTACGAAGGTTGAGAGAAAGAGGGGGAAGGTTGAGAGAAAGCGGGGGATGGAGGCTGTTGAAGTGGACCCATCAGCAGGCGGTGGACCACGTGGCAAGTGGACAATGGCAGGTCGCCAGTACTGTCTGCTCACAAGGCTCTTGACGATAATTCCACGTGGCATATTATTCGCCCGCCACGTCACCATGCGCGGCGGTCCCCCACACCGGTGTGTAGCCGGGGGCCCAGGTAAAAGAAGCGGACCAAATGATGACTCAACAGTCGATTCTTGCAACTTGATCATTTTTTTATCCAATTTTTTTTATTTAATATATTCTTTTTGGAGCACTCTCAAATCTGGATGCTTCGTTTCTTTTGTCTGCATTCGTTTTCCTCTTGCAAAAATAATAGAATTAGGATCAATTTTTATACCCATTCTTTGTCTTCCTCCCAAACTATTTGCGCTACTAAAACGAGGATTTTGGGTAAACATATTGTACTATGAAATTTTTTTTTTTTTCTTTCTCTATTGATACAAGGACAAGCGCCAAATTCCCACCGACTTATCTTTTTTTAGAAAAAGAGCCCGGACTTAATTGGTTGGTGCTTGATGAATATTAACGCTACATCTTTGGCTCAATCTCTACGAAAAGTAGGGGCCCTCTCCCCCACTGCACCCAAAATTTTATAGGAAAAGAGCCTGGACTTAATTGATTAGTACTTGACGAATTGTATGCTACATCCGACGCTCAATTCCTACAAAAAATAGGGACCCTTTTCGACACTGATTCACCCAAATTCCTTTAAGAAAGGGGCTAGGTCATGGTGGTAGCACCCTCATACCTAGTTATCACATTGCGTTTTCTAATCCTACTGACACCTTAAAAATAGCTAAGTCCCTAATATATGGCATGTCTTCCTCACTGAATTACCTAAAAATATATGATGGGAATGGAGCCAAGGACAGTATTATGGAATATAGAGGAATTATATTGAACAAATTAAATATATCCCATAGATGTCATAAAAACCAACTTCTTTTATTTGAGGGTGTAGTTTGTATAAGGCCGAGGTCTTAAACAATCAAAGTAACGTGCACCTTCAAATAGCGCCGAAGATGTTTCAATTCTAAATAACTTTGTGATGGCCTGAAAATTTATTTTTCACCCTAATTATAAAATTTAAAGCTTCAAAAATAGTGTAGATCGAGTAGATCTATGAACACTTTAAAATCGTGAAAATTGATATTCCGAAAATACATTACAAGATGCACTATTTCTAATACTTGAGATCCATTTTTTCTCATGTACATGCATCTTGAGGTTGAGATGATCAATTTGAAGATTTTTGGGCATTGAAACAAACATCTTCTAGTTAAATTTTTTAGGTGCGCCTTGATTTGATTATTTAGCGCCCTTATATAAACATTTTTCCTTTTTTTTTGTAAAGCTAACTCAAAACTTCGAAAATTATAAATACACACCAAATTGGAATTTATAAGCATGGCCACTGTCCACCAATATTTTTGATACCACGTTATTAATCCAATACTGTTTATTTTTGCATCCAATCCCTGTAAGCAAAAAAGTTAACTTTTTATGGATAAAAAAAGACCTTCATCTAAGCCGGTTCAGCACAAAATGTACCAGATCGACACAACTTGAATATAGATGCTGGCCCGACACATTTCAGCATAAATCGATTCAATACATATTGTCCCGAATCGGTTGAATTTGAAAATCTAAAGCCAATATGACACATTTTGTGTTGGCTTTTTGTCAGAAGTGGGTTCGACGCACTACATGATATGAAGTTAATATATATATTTATATGTATCTCATACTAATATATCAAGTTAGGTGGTTGATCCCAACACGGACCTGACCGATAGGATCCAAGCTAGACTCACATCTAGACCCATATTCAACTAAGGTCAAGGTCAAGTAGACTAAACCTGACGCCTGACCCCATAGGATCCACGCTAGACCTGAACCCAGACCCAACCCGTGTTTGGGTCAAGGTCAAATGGGGCCAAACCAGACCCGAATCCCATAGGGTCCAAGCTAGATGAATCCAAACCTAGACCCAGATCTAAGTAGGGTAGAATCAAGGCCAAGTGGATCCTGACCGACCCATCGGGTCCATCATCTTGATCTAGACTAGGTCAAACTATCGAATGCACGGGTCAATCCATTCCCCTCCCCTAAATGTACCATACTTGTATAAATGATAGATAATTAAATAGGATCTTACTTGTCCATTTCGAAGATGTGGAGGTGGTGTTGATAATAGTTCCACTCAGCGATTCAAAACTCGGCGAGTCGAACTGGACTCGCTCGGTTCGACTTGGGAATCGTCACACCCATGCCGGTTCCAGTGAAATACCGGGCAATTCGCAATGAATCGCCGAGTCATCCTGGTTCCCAAAAGTAAAACACGGGCTACACAGTGTTCTTCATGAGATTCATGGTTTTTTGTCATTTTTTTTATCGTTTTCAGCTTTGCAATCGAATCTTTCAGCCTTTACTTTAATCTTTTCAAACATTTCAGTCAATAAATTGTAGTAGAGATCATCGATTTTGATCACAAATATTTGGATATGTGAAAAACAAAGCGTGAGTTTTAGGGCATCATTTTTTGTAAAATCTGAGAGTTATTGATCTTAAGAGTATTGTTTAGAAGTTGTTGTTCATAATTTGTGAGTATTTTGGACGATTACATCTCAAATTTGAATTTGAAGCCACAGGTGCAAGAAAAATAGGTAAGAACTGCGGTTTCTTTTTTTCCCGCCATTCTATCAATTTTATTCAATATTTTACAAATAATGTGTTAATATTATAGGGTTTTGATTCCTTATAATGTTGTTTATTATCAAATGTATTCAATTTGATCTGATTTATTCAATTTAAGGTTGATTTTCGAGAAAAAATGACTGATGTTTCTGAAGAACTGTGTGTTTTTTTTTTTTTCCTCCATTCAATCGATATTACTCAATTATTTGCAAATAATATGTTAAATTTATAGGGTTTTGATTCCTTATGGTGTTGTTTATCATCACATGTATTCTATTTGATTGGATTTATTCAATTTGATTTTTAAGAAAAAATGGCTGATGTCTATGAAGAACTGCTTTTTCCTTTTTTTTTTTTCTTTTTCCATCATACAATCGATTTTACTCAATTATTTGCAAATAATGTGTTAATTTTATAGGATTTTGATTCATTATAGTGTTGTTTTATCGTCACATGTATTCAATTTTGATCTGATTTATTCAATTTGAGTTTGATTTTTGAGATGGAATGACTGATGTCAA